TTGTCATTTGGAAATGAGATCGCACATAAGTATGAATCGAGATCGCGATTTTCTAACGATTAATCGTGCAGCCCTAATGCTTATATTTATGTTCCAGAGCAATCTATGTGGACTTGATCAGCCAACAAAATACCTGTAACCTGCACCTTACTGTAACGTAGCATGATGAAGCAGTTTCCTCCTTCTTCTGGGCCTCATGCGTTAGTCCATCATTTCTTAGCACCTTCTCGGATCCCGTCATCCATCATCAGCACACTCATTCTGACATATTTATAGTCAAGGTCAACAACAGCCATTTATAACTGATTTACAGTGGTAATACATGTTATTGACGTTTATGACTTAGATCTGCACTCTGCCCTAAAACATTCTTGTTGAGCCACAGAGGCTATTTTTTCTCCTCATGTAAAAACTCTTTTGCTGTGTGCGTAGGTGGTAATTGTGCTTTGTCAATTATATATGTACTTACTGGAATGCACGGATGATTGACAGCCTCTCCTAGCATACCTGAAGTGTGCACTTGCCTTGTCAGACTACTTGCTCAAAACCGCCTGCTTTATAAAGTGAGCGAGCATGAAGAGCTCTCTGTGTGCGAGCGCATTTCCTAAACATTCCCGCTGCTTTGATTGCTGCAAGTACACGTTTTTATTCTTCCCTTTGCATCGTTGTCCTCCAAGGTTGTTTCTTCAGCTCTTCTTCCTCTATGATTTCCACTCTGCTCCCGTCTGTCACTCGCCGTCTGACTCACAGCCATATTTCTCTTCCTTTTGGTTCCCAACTTGCCAATATCCATCCTGCGCCCTTCACTCTGTCCTTGCCTCTCCGTTTTCCGCTCCTGCAGCACGTTTCACCCCACTACCAGCCAAGCTTCCGTCAGCATCCTACAGCCCATAATTGAACTCCCTCTTTCCCCTCTTTTTCCCCTCTCGCCCCTTCCCCCCCTTCCCTCCTCCACCTCCCTCCTTTCTCTTTCCACCATGCCTCGTCCTGCTCGGCCTCTCCCTTCATCCACCTCTCTCCTTTGTCTCTCCACTCGTGACATGGACCTCTTCCCCTCTTCTTGGTGCTTCTCATCCTCTTCCTCCTCTATTCCAACCCTCATACCTGTGTCTTCCTCTTCCCTCATCCTCTCCAACCACCCACCTTTCTCCTCCTCCTTCTGCCCCTCCACGCTCCCCAGCAGTCAGAGCCCCACAGCCACTCTGCAGTCCACCAACACCCAGACGCAGAGCTCCAGCTCCAGCTCAGGAGATGGAAGCCTGTTCCGCCAGAGAGGGAGTCAAGCGGCGCAGCCTGACGAGACGGGCAGGGTCCCACCCTACGTGGACTTCAGTCAGTTTTACCGACTGTGGGGGAGCGACCATGGCGATGGCCAGAGCATGCAGGGAGGCCTGGGACCGCAGTGAGACCCACTGGAGTTTCCAGCAAAGCTGACACATGGATTTTTAAAGGGACAAAGATTTAGGGACGTGATGGGACGTCTTATAATATGCTGTTAATGTAATGTTACTACATATAAGTGACCTAAAGGTGCTGGGGATGAACTTCTCAACAGAAGTTGAAGACAATGAAATGCTGGGAAAACGTTGTCACTTCACTCCAAATTGATGTTTGGTCATTTGTAAAAGACAAAGGTGAGTGAGTGAATCCATGTAATCCAGATTGACAAAATTATTTTCAGATGTAAAGGCAAAAGGGGAATCTCATGGACCGGGGAGCTTGTGGAGCTGTGAGTTATTATATACTGTAAGGCCTTAAAACTGAATAAATGAATGCTTTATAAAGTACTGTTTAAGTTGTAATGACAGTATATCTCCAGATTAATTCCCATCAGCTTTCATTTTCCCAAAGAGTTCTTCAATAATTCGTTGCTTTGACGTCCTGACCTTCGTTAAAGACCTCAACGGTCTGCTTATATGGTTGTTATGGCAGCAACTAATGTAACTAGCGGTCACACTGCATCATTGTGTTGTCATTTCCACACAGCCCAGAGGTTTATTCAGGGATTGACAGTTTAGAATATAAACACAACATGTACAGCAGGGCTTATTAGGGATTTCGTTATGATATTACAACCAGCTACCAGCTGGGACTGAAGCTGGTAATAACTTGCTTTAAAGTGGACCTATGATGCTTTTTACCTACCACGAGTACTTAAAGTTGTGACGCTGTGTAAGATGTAAATAAAGATGAATGAATTTGGAAATGTCATAGACCCATATTTTATCACAATAGAACACAGTAAAAAATATCAACTGTTTCAACTGAAAAAAGAAAATTACCATTTTAGAAAATCTTAGCTCAATTTGGATTTGATGGCAGGGCCAAGTTCACCACTGTGTAGCATCTGTTCTTTTGACAGCAGACCCTAAATTTTGGAAAACTGAGGAGAGCAGCTGGACTTCTGGCAGACGAATATTGTCCCATTCTTGTCTGATGGAGGATTCCAGCTCGGGTCTGCTTTGTTCTGTTTTGTTTGATCATGTGCCACTTGATTGCTGATGAAAGGTCAGCACCCAAACTCGTCTACTACAAAGCCATACCGTTCCAATGGCTGCAGTTTTGCATTGTCTTTCTGAACCACGCAGTCCTTCCCTGAAAAAGGGGGTCTGGATGGGACCATATGGTTCTCTAGAACTGAGCACTGGTAACAAGCTAGATATTGTATCTGACCTCAGAACAGTTGTCTGCTTGGCCTAAGTCCATTTTAAATGAGCTTTGGCTCAGAGAAGACAGCAGTGTTTCTGGATCACGTTCACATATGGCTTCTCTGCCTGACAGAGCTTTAACCTGCATTTGTGGATGGCACAGTGAACTGTGTCCACAGGCAGTGACTTCCGGAAGTGTTCCTCAGCTCGTGCCTGTTTTAATGCAGTGCCGTCTGATGGCCCGAAGATCAGACATTTGGGATCTTTTTTGGCCTTGTCCCTTGCACACAGAGATTTCTCAAGGTGTTCTGATTCTTGTGATGATATTATGTACTATAAATCATGAGATACTAAAAATCCTCACAGGTTGACGATCATCTGAAATTATTTAACAATTTGTTTAATTTTTTCTCAAGATGATGCAAATGCAGGTGAACCTCTGCCTCTCTAAGGCTACGTTCACACTGCAGGCGAAAGCGCATCAAATCCGATTTTTTTGACCCTATGTGACCC